TCCCAATCCCAATCCCAATCCCAATCCCAATCCCAATCCCGATCCCAATCAATCCCAATCCCAATCCCATCCCAATCAATCCCAATCCCAATCCCATCCCGATCCCAATCCCATCCCAATCCCATCCCAATCCCAATCCCAATCCCGATCCCGATCCCGATCCCAATCCCATCCCAATCCCAATCCCGATCCCAATCCCATCCCATCCCAATCCCAATCCCAATCCCAATCCCAATCCCAATCCCAATCCCATCCCATCCCGATCCCAATCCCGGCTCCGTCCCTCAGGACCCGTTGCTGCGGCTGACTCTGGCCCGGAGCGTCTCCATGGTCGGCCGAGCCCTGGCCCGGCACGGCCCCGGGAGCGACGCCGGGAAATTCGGGAACGACGCCGGGAAGTTCGGGAACGAGCCCGGGAAATTCGGGAACGAGCCCGGGAAATTCGGGAACAACGCCGGGAAATTCGGGAACGAGCACGGGAAATTCGGGAACGATGCCGGGAAATTCGGGAACGATGCCGGGAAATTTCCCGGGAACGGCCCCGGCACCATCGCCCACAAGGCCGAGCTGGTGGCGCTGATGGTGGTGAGACTGGGATGGACTGGGATATACTGGGATATACTGGGATATACTGGGATGGATACTGGGATATACTGGGATATACTGGGATGGATACTGGGATATACTGGGATATACTGGGATGNATACTGGGATATACTGGGATATACTGGGATGGATACTGGGATATACTGGGATATACTGGGATATACTGGGATGGATACTGGGATATTCTGGGATATACTGGGATATACTGGGATATACTGGGATGGATACTGGGATATTCTGGGATATACTGGGATATTCTGGGATATACTGGGATATACTGGGATATACTGGGATATTCTGGGATATACTGGGATATACTGGGATATTCTGGGATATTCTGGGATATACTGGGATATACTGGGATATTCTGGGATATTCTGGGATATTCTGGGATATTCTGGGATATTGGGATATACTGGGATATTCTGGGATATACTGGGATATACTGGGATATACTGGGATATACTGGGATATACTGGGATATTCTGGGATATTCTGGGATATTCTGGGATGGGATCTCTGCGGAACATTCCGGAGGCGCCGTTCCGGAACGTTCCGTCCCCATTCCCGCCTTTTCCTTTTCCCAGGAATTCCTGCGGGCGGAATCTCCGGAGGCGCCGCGGCTGCGGGAGCACGCGCTGAGCGCCTGCGCCAGCCTGGTGTATCCCGGAATTCCGGGAATTCGGGAATTCGGGAATTCGGGAATGCCTGGAAACCTGGGAATGACGGGAATGGCGGGAATGGCGGGATTGGGATTTGGGGTTGGATCACTGGGAATTCCGGAATCGGGATTTGGGGTTGGATCATTGGGAATTCCTGGGTTGGATCCTTGGGAATTCCTCATTAATTCCCATTAATTCCCAATAATTCCCATTAATTCCCAATTAACTCCAAATAATTCCCATTAATCCCTAATAATTCCCATTAATTCCCAGTAATTTCCAATAAATCCCTAATAATCCTCAATAATCCCCAATAATGCCCATTAATCTCCAATAATTCCCATTAATCCCTAATATTTCCTAATAAAACCCAAATAAATCCCAATAATTCCCAATAGTTCCCAATTAACTCCCAGTAATTCTCATTAATCCCCATTAATTCCCAATAATTCCCATTAATCCCAATTAATCCCCAATAATTCCTAATAAAACCCCAGTAAATCCCCTATGATTCCCATTAATCTCCAATAATTTGTAATAAGACCCCAATAAATGCCTAATAATCCTCAATAATTCCCATTAATCCCCAATAAATCCCAATAATTTCCATTAATCCCCATTAATCCACATTAATTCCCAATAATTCCCCAATAAATCCCCAATAAATCCCAATAATTCCTATTAATCCCCAATAATTCCCATTAATCCCTAATAATTCCTAATAAAACCCCAATAAATCCCCAATAATTCCCAATAATTCCCAATTAACTCCCAATAATTCCCATTAATCCCCATTAATTCCTAATACAACCCCAATAATTCCCATTAATCCCCAATAATTCCCATTAATACCCATTAATTCCTAATAAAACCCCAATAATTCCCATTANTTAATTCCTAATACAACCCCAATAATTCCCATTAATCCCCAATAATTCCCATTAATACCCATTAATTCCTAATAAAACCCCAATAATTCCCATTAATCCCCAATAATTCCTAATAAAACCCCAATAATTCCCATTAATTCCCATTCATCCCCAATAATTCCCATTAATTGCTAATAATCCCCAATAAAACCCCAATAATTCCCATTAATTCCCATTAATTGCTAATAATCCCCAATAAAACCCCAATAATTCCCATTAATTCCCATTCATCCCCAATAATTCCCATTAATTGCTAACAATCCCCAATAAAACCCCAATAATTCCCAATAATTCCTATTAATCCCCAGTAATCCCCAATAAAACCCCAATAATTCCCAATAATTCCCATTAATCCCCAATAATTCGCATTAATCCCCAATAATTCCTAATAAAACCCCAATAATTCCCATTAATTGCTAACAATCCCCAATAAAACCCCATTAATCCCCAATAATTCCTAATAAAACCCCAATCAATCCCCATACTCCCCGAGAATTCCCGTCGGTCGCCGTCCCCGCCGGGCGCGGCGTTCCCGTTTTTCCTTATCCCGGGATGGCAGCGCCCTGGAGCCGGCGCTGGGCGAGGCGGAGCGCGCGGAGCTGCTGCGGGCGGCACTGGGCACCGCGGGGCCGGAGCAGGTGGGGGAAACGGGAATTCTGGGAAAACGGGAATTGGGGGGAACGGGAATTCTGGGA